TCCCATAGTTTACCCATGCAAAAGCAGCAGTTCAGCAAAGAATCACCCAATTTGGAGTTGGTTTACCGGTAGAAAAGCATCAAATAAGGCTGAAATAAGCAAATTTAAAGTTGGTTTACCCGAAGTAACCCGGCCGACCTGAGGTTACCCGAGGTAACCGAATGGTATACGGGTTCTGGAATTAATTCACATGTTGCGGCCCAGCATTTTCTCAGACCAATTATTGCGGGCCGGTCCAAACAAACTCCAAAACCGACCCTACCTAGCCGACTTTCACTCGTAATTAACTCCGCTCTATTGCACATAAAAAAAATTCTCATTTGAAATTCTACTTTGGTAAATGGAAATCCTGCTGCCCAAATATTTACGTTGCCGTCGTTATTGGAAAAATTTATAATATATATCTAAGTTTGATTTTTCTTATGTGTGTGTGTGTGTATATATATATATAGCATATAACTACGAAATACAAGCTTTTGAAGTTTCCAAAAGTACTAATTTGACATCAAATTGCAATCCCATAATCATCAGATGCCTATGTTTTAAGGGGAAAGACATTGGTGCTAAAGTAAAAGGGAAAAAAAAACTATTTGATATAAATTATTAAATATTTGCATTTATTTAATTCTCGACATGATTTAGATGTAACCTATATTGATTCCTTCCAAAAAGAAGAAAAAAGAAAAACATTAAAGAGGCCTCTATATTTCAGAAGATTGTGGCATTTTTTCTTATCCATTTCACAAATGGCCTCCAAATCATGTATTTTAACTCAATATGTTCTCTTGATTTTGAAAAGAGTTTATTTCATCTCCTCAAGTTAAATAAAATCGTTTACAACTCTTTTTGAACTCGTAAATTGTTTAAAATCGGAATAATTGATGTAAAATTATTAAGGGAGAAAGAGGAAAATATGTTAATATTTGAGGTAAATTAAAATTAATAGACTAATAGTTTACATAAGTTAATAAATATGCTAAATTACTGTTTTCGTCTATAATTTATCTGGTTATGAACCATATCTTGACAAGTTATTGTCTATAATTCACGATTTTTGTCCATAACTTGTCTGACTATGGACTATAACTTGACAAGTTTGTCCATAACTTATCTAGTTATGAACCATAACTTGACAAATTATGGCCTATTAATTTCTATAATTAAAAATTGGCCTATATACTTTCTTAAGCTTTTTATATTGGCCTATTTTCAACTATTTTCGAATTAATAATTGAAATGACAAGTTCAAGTTGATTTAAGATAAATAATTCAAAAGCGTGTATGAAATTATAACTTGTATTACGTTATTACGATTAATATTATAGTAGAATCTAAATGAAAAATGTTACGATTAATATTATAGTAGAATCTGAATGAAAAATGTTTTAAGATTTATGACTGTATTTATGAAATTAATCAATTTCCCCCATCATATATCACAAGACCACATGTCTAGACTCTTGATCATATATAATTTAGAAAAAAAAAAAAAGACTCTTCTTGATAAAAAATAAAGTTCATTAAATCCAAAGCAATAATATGTGTGGAGTTCAATAATCTATAAACTAGTTCTGTGCGTATGCGATTTCGGCAGTCCGGTGCGCACTGCGCATTACCTCCCCAAAACGACAAGTATTTGTAATCTGCGCCTCTATTCCCTCCGGCGTAATCTCTCTCTCTCTGAAACATTGTCCTTCGATTTTGTCGTCTCTCCCAAATTCGTCAATTTCTAGGTTTTCCAAATCCCAAACACCATGATCTCATTTCTAGGGTTTTAGCTCCTCCTTCGCTCCGACTTCACCCTGTTACCAGGCTAGGGTTTTCGTCTACAATCACACACAGCCATGGCGGATTGGCAGCAGCTACTTCAATCGATCTTTCTCGGCCTCATTTTCTCTTACTTCCTCGCCAAGCTGATCTCCATCGTCACTTCCTTCAAGGAGGATAATCTCACCATCACTCGCGGCGGCGGCGGCGGCGGCGACGACGGCGAAAAACGAAACCCGGGAAAGTCCGATTCCACAACCCAACACCG